CCCCCCCCCCCCCCCCCCCGACCCCGCCTGCCCGTCTCCCTCAGCCAGACTAGTGTCCACAGAGCTGCCAGCCGCTGCCGAGAGGACCAGCTCCTCTGTGACTGATGCAGCCTCCTTGCGACCTTCTTCCCTGTCCTCCTCCAGCTCCTCCAGCTCCTCCTCCAGCTCGTCGTCCTCCTCCTCGCTGTGCTTCAGGTCTTGGCCGCTGTCTGGGCCCTGGAGGCTGGCTTTGTCCCTTGGGTCCTCCCCCAGCAACCCCTCACTGGCACTGCTCTTGCCACCGAGCTGGCCCAGGCTCAGGGCCTCAGACAGGTAGAGGCCGTTCTGAAGCTCCTCGCTCTCCGGCAGGTACGCCTGATCGTGCAGGCTGACGCCGGACATGTAATTCGCCAGCTCCAAGCCGGCATCCCCTTTGGCCTCTTCCCCAAAAGAACAAGACTCCGGGCTGCTCCTGCCACTCTCCTCGTCATCCTCCGCTGCGCCCAGCAGCAAGGCCTTGTTCTCCTCCTGGGAAGAGCCCTCTGCGCCCCCCAGCACCTGCAGGATGTGGGGCAGCAGGTGAGCGAGGAAGGGCTGCAGCCCCAGCCGAGCCATCAGTTGGGCCACGAAGCAGTCCGTGTAGAGGTAGAAGCGGCCGTGCAGGCCGCGGGGGCTCTCGTAGGCCCCGATCAGGAGCTTCAGCAGGTACTTGTTGGTGTTCTTGGGGCCCAAGGCCTTGGCAATGGGCTCAAAGAGGTACCAGGCAGCGTGGACAGCTGTCCTCTGCTCCGACAGCAGGGCCAGGATGAAGGGCAGCAGAATCTCCAGGCCTTCAGGAGCAATGCCATTCAGAATCCCCTCCAATTGCTGCCACAGCTGGAACACTAACTCCCGGCCCTGCCCCTCATCCCCGGCCTCCTGGGAAAGGTAGGTGAGGATGAACTTGTGCAGGGAGGGGAAGTACACTGGGAAGGGGAGGACCCCGCTGTAGGGGCTCAGCAGCTGTGACGGGCATGGTGGGGGGAGACCTTGCCAGACGGGCTCGTAGGCAAACAGCTGGGGCACCCTGCTGCCCTGAGTCTCTCTCAGAAGCTGGGTGTCGGGAATTTTCAGCCGCAGCAGCACTTCCAGCAGATGCTGGAGCGGAGAGGGGACCTCCTTGGGGTGAAACTGACAGAGCTTCCGAACTGTCTGGAAGCGCTCACGCAGCGGCGCCATTGGCTTGGAGGTGCGCAATTTGGCTGCAAAGATGACCTCACCTACCAGGACGCCCAGCACCTGCATATCCCTTTGAAAAAGGTCCGAGAGAGCCACCGGGAGCCGTGACGGTGGCTGCTCCAGGTGGCCCACGGTACCGTGCAAGGCCTTCAGCAAGAAAGCGTCCAGCTTCTCTAGCTCCTCCAGGGCCTGAAGCAGCAAGTGCCCGTCAGGGAGGACGACCTTGACCTCCGTCCCTTCCGCCTGCAGGACAGACATGGGGGCCCTGGGCCTCCAGGTGAGCTGCCTGCTGTCGATAGGGAAGCCGGGAAGCGGGGTGGAAGGACCGGGCAGCTCCGCACCTCGGCAAACCACCGGAGCAGACTCCAGGGCCTCTGCTCCCTGCTCTACCTCATCTCCTGCGCTCAGCCCCAACCTGCTTTCGCAGGTAGCTGCGCCTGCGACGAGCCCACTGGCTGCTTGGCCACCCTTGGGGCTCTCCAGCACGCGCGTTTCCTGGACGGTGGGGAGGAGAGGCTGGGCGAGGAGAGGAGCCTCCGCAGGCAGGAAGGCGGCTCCCAGCAGCCGCCTGGGGTGGGGCTGGTCGAAGAGCTGCACCACCCCATAGCTGGTGAGGTGGGTGTGGTTGTCCACCAGATGAAGACAGACGTTCTTCTCCTTGACCGCCTCCTTGCCCAGCAGCTTATAGCCAAAGGTGAGGTCGATCCAGTGGTGCAGGTCCCGAGACACCTCTGAGCTCTCCAACAGGGCACGGTGGGCGGCAACAAACTCTTCGCAAGAGCCGTACCAGGCTGGCACCTCCAGGTCTGGCATGTCGGGGTGGATGGACTTAAAGATAGTGGGGTCGGAGTAAAATTCGGGGATGCACTCATCCGGAGTCCAGCCCTGCATGCGCTCCAGGTTGGCTGGGTATTCGTTGGGTTCCCACTGGGACCGGACGTGGGAACACAGCACGGCCTTGGGAGTCCGCCGTGCCGTGTAGACGTAATAGGTGATGTCAGAGAGGACATCTGAGATGTGATGAGGCACATGGGGCTGCTCCCCACTCAGGCCGCCTCCCGCCACAAAGGCCTGCTTGGTCATCTCGTAGGTGAAGTCCAGCTGCTTGTCCCCCTTGTTGAGGCGGAACTTGGACTTGCGCAGGTCCCGGAACTGGCCGCTTCTGGTGGTGAAATCCATGACCCAAGGGAGCACGGGGTGATAGTTAGGGTCCCTCAGGCGCCGCCCAGCCAAGCGGTTCAGGTGCATGAGATAGTCAAAGTTACTGAGGCGGCCGTGCACCCAGTCCAGCACCAGATCCCCAAGGTCCCGCAAGGCCAGGGTCCCTTCTGCAGCAGTGGAAGCGGCACGCTCCTCCGCGGGGTCCTGGCCGGGACCGCTGGAGGCTGCCGCCACAGCTCCTCCCTCCCCTGCCTCCTCCCGACCAAGCTGCTCATACCCCTGAAGCGGAACCCTGAGCCGGGCACAGAGCTTCTCGTCCACTGCTACGTCCTCCAGCGAGAAGAGGCCACACGCCAGGCCTGCCTCATGGCAGGCCTGCATGGCCAGCAAGACCTGGAAAAGGATGAAGAGCAGCTTGGCGTGGCTGTTCGTCAGCTTGGCGGGGCTGAAGGTGATGAGGTCGCGCAGGGAGTACCAGACATATGGGAAGAGGACGTAGAGCATCTCCGAGGACTCCAGGATGGCGTCTGCCTGCAGGACGCTGGAGAAGAGCAGGGGAGCGCTGCCAGGGAAGTCCTCCTCTTTAGCAGGAGAGGAGCAGGAGGGGGGCCTCCCCACAGGGATGAACGGGCAGCGGTAGAGCTTCTGGAGGGCAGCCCGGAGCCCCTCCAGGGCCAGAACAGAAGCCGGAGCGGAGGCAGGGTGGTAGCACTGGGCGTACGAGCGGTGGGCTTGGCTCCATAGATTCCTGCAGTTCTGGGAAGCCACGCTGCGCATGAACTCGTGAAGGGTTTCTGGACCCCCCGCGGGCCCTCTCTGCAGGCCGGGGTCTGCAGTCAGCCGATAGCGCAGCCAATTCTTCCGCAGCCCGTGGACTTCCACTCGGGTCCAGCCTGCGGGCAGCTTCTGAACGGAGTGCTGGAGACACGTGTGGACCTCCATCTTGCTGAGGCCTTCGGGCTGCGGGCACAGGACTGGCAGCACCCCTCGCTCCTTCAGGCTGGCCAGCCACTTCGCGGGCACCAGAGCCACGACATGGGAGCCCCTGAGCAGCAGCTGGCTGCGGTCCACGCGCAGGTCCTTCTCCACCTGCTCCA